TCTTCTCTCTCTCCTTGTATAGCCTAGCATCATGGACTGAAGTCTCTTCCCTCCTGTCCCTTCTTCTCTTCTTTATCTTCCACAGGTGTTTCCCCCAATAAACTACTTGAATGTCTAATTCTATCTCAGCATCAGCTTTTTGGAGGGCTTCAAATCACAAAAGACAAAAATTATAAACTGGACTTTATATAAAATATGAAAAGCATCATACTTGAAAATTTAACTTTCAGAAAATTGAAAAGCAAGATACAGATCTAGAAACCAAACATTTGGAATACATATATCTGACAAAGGGCTGTTACTAGAATATGTAAAGAACCATTATAACTCAGTAATAAGAAGAAAAATGACAATCAAAAAATGGCTAAGAGATGTGAACAGACCCTTCATCAAAGAAGATATATAAATTGGTAATAAAGGCATGAGTAATAGGCATAATATTACTATTCATCAGGGAAATGATTAAAAATACAATGACATAAGATTCACATGCACTAGAATGTCTAAAATTAAAAATACATTAAAATAGTGATAATACCGAGTATTGGTGAGGATGTGGAGGAACTGAAACTTTCATATATTGCTGGTGGGAGTGTGGAAAAACCATTCTGGAAAACAATTTGGCAGTGTCTTAAAGTTAAATATACATCAATTATGTATCTTAGAAGTTTTCCCTAGAAATAAAAGCATGTGCCCAAATAAAGACTTGCACCCACATTTTCATCAAAAAGATTAATAAATAAAACAAATATGGTGTATACATACACTGGACTACTATCTAGCAATAATATGCAATGAACTATTGAAATATGCTATAACATGGATGAATATTAAAGCATTGTGCTAAGGTGAAAGAAGCCAGACATATTCCATTTATGTGAAGTCCTGGAATAGGAAAAATTAATCTATAGTGCTAGATTGCTTGGACTATGGGTGTGACTGGCTGCAAAGTAGCACAAACATTTTGGAGTGACAGAAGTTCTATATCTGGATTACAGTGGTATTCACACACATATACATATGTACATACATCTTTACATATGGTGGTATAAGGCCTAAAGTTAAGGCCCAATATTGTGTGCTCCCTCAACATCTAGGGAAACCAGGAGGACCTCAAATGTCCTAACCACAAGTTCCCCTCTCCAATGTGCTTCCATGTAGAGGATCCTCCAAACAAGCAACTCCTTTGATCATAGAGACCAGGCACAATTCTTGCTTATCCCTGAGTAGAGGGTTTCAATTTCTCACCAGCATGAGGAATTATTCGAACAAGCCAATCATATCCTTCCCTGGGAAACAGGGGTACTGTATCCTCTTGATATTACAAAGCCTGCCCCCAAGGCCCCTGCTTGCTCCCTCAGTTCCCAAATGCAACCCCTCATGTGGTATGCAGTGTCTTCCTCCCCTGAGTTGTGAGTATATGTGACCAATAAACTACTGTTGATCTTGTTGGCCCAGTGTCAAGTGTCATGTGCTCAGCCATCCCCATAACCCTAGAGAAGGAATCCCTCCCTCACCAGCAGGATGCATAGGAGGCAATTAAAACACACATACACTTATACACATATACATACATCCCTGGGGGGTATGTTCCAATACCCCCAGTGAATGCTTGAAGCCACAGATGGTACCGAACCCTCTATATACTATGTTTTCTCCCTATACATACATGCCTATGATACAGTTTAATTTATGTTAGGCACAGTAAGAGATTAACAACAATAGCTATTAGTAAAATAGAACAAGTATAACAATATACAGGAATAAAAGTTATGTACATGTGGTTTCCCTCTTTCTTAAAATCTTATTGTACTGTACTCACCCTTCTTTTGTGATGATGTGAGATGATAAAATGCTTACAGATGAGATGAAATGAGATGAACAATGTAGGCACTTGACACAATGTTAGACTACCATTGACCTGATATGTCAGGGAGATCATCTGCTTCAAATGATCCTGGATCATCAAGCCATGATGATGTGGAGTGCTGGATGGCAGGAGCAGATGATGTCATGCCTGAGGATACCAGGTGGTCTGAAGAGGGTGGAGTGGGCCATGATGATAAGATATTTGATCACGTTATTCCGAATGGCACTCAATTTAAAGCTTATGAATTGTTTATCTCTTGAATTTTTCAGTTACTATTTTCAAACCACAGTTGGCCTCAAGTAACTGAAATCACAGAAAGAGAAACTAGGGACAAAGGGGGAATCTTGTATGTATTATATATTATTTAAAAATGCATTTCAAATTGTATTGACATGTACACTTAACATGGGTGATTTTATTGCATGTAAACTGTAACTCAATCTACAGTTGATTTTTAAACCTGTAAAAAAAATTGAGTTGAATATCCACAATTTAATGAGTCATTCTATTTCAACATGCTGCTGCTGCTGCTGCTGCTGCTAAGTCACCTCAGTTGTGTCTGACTCTGTGCGACCCCAGAGATGGCAGCCCACCAGGCTCTCCTGTCCCTGGGATTCTCCAGGCAAGAACACTGGAGTGGGTTGCCATTTCCTTCTCCAATGCATGAAAGTGAAAAGTGAAAGTGAAGTCAGCTCAGTCATGTCCGACTCTTAGCGGCCCCATGGACTGCAGCCTACCAGGCTCCTCCGTCCATGGGATTTTTCAGGCAAGAGTACTGGAGTGGGGTGCCATTGCCTTCTCCACTATTTCAACATAGTGCCGTACAAAAGGTGGAGGAACTATGAGATGCTTACTAGAGACGCTACCAAAATAGACTTGATGGCTCAGGAAGAACTTCTGAGAGACACGAACAGATCCTGTGAGTAGGAACTGGTCTGGTGAAAGTTATGGGACAGCAAAGAGGAAATGAAAAGTGTCCCAGGGACAGGAGTTGAAAAGCTAGAGAGAGGCTAGCCTATGTCACATCCAAGAATGGTTCAGTTCCTAAGCCAGAAACTTGGTCCCATCCCAGATCCTTACGTCTCCCCAACTTCCACCTTCCAACCAATCATTAATACTCTAATGATGTCACTTTTATTTCACCATCCTCTTTGTCTCTAAGCCCTGGAAAATTATCACTTGCAAAATACTCATTACTGGACTTGACCTACATTCCATCTTCCCAGAATCTATCTACAACATCAGCCCCAGGTGAAGGTAAAAAGGTGAAAGGGGTGAAAGTCTCAGTCATGTCTGATTCTTTGCAACCCCATGGACTGTAGCCCACCAGGTTTCTCTGTCCACAGAATTTTCCAAGCAAGAATACTAGAGTGGGTTGACTTTTCCTTCTCCAGGGGATCTTCCGAACCAGGGATCAAACCAGTGTCAATGTATTGCCGGCAGATTCTTTACTGTTTGAGCCACCAGGGAAGCCCTAGAGTGAACATTAAAAGACAAATCTAATATCAGTCCCCTATTCAGTATATTTCCATTGTTCCCCAGTGAATACAGAATAATTCATATATGCCTTAAAATTACATAAGAGATTTTTCACGATGTAGTTTTGTACTTTTGCTATCTCAACTCCTACCATGACCTCTTCCTGACTTTTATATACTAACCACATTCTCTCCTTCTTCTGAACTTCAGATTGTGGTGACCCTCTTTAATTGGCATCACATCTCAACACATTTACTACTTCCTCTATTAAGATGGTCCCTGACTCATCTAGGGCAGATATAAGTATTCTTTATCTTATGTTCCCACTGTATTATATAAAGCCCCAAATCACTATCATAACCTAAAAATAATTTAAATTCTTACTGTTATTATAGTTACAGCAGGTCCTACATACTGAGTTCTCAGACTTTATTATTTACTGAATTCTCAAAAGGAATCCAATATATATGTATTATTTTACCCACTTACATAAGAGGAAATATGGCTTAGGAAGGTTAAGAAATTTGCCTAATTCATACAGGTGGAGTGACCAAGCATGGATTCAAGAACTTCTTAATTAAATCAAAAGCTGAGATTTCATATAGACATTTTTTCCACTACAGCTATATGCACTCTAAATTCCTTGAAGACTTAGGCCATAATTTTGTAATGGTGTATCCACAGTTCATAGTAAACGCCTGGGGCATAGGAAGTACCTGATAAATAATAAGTGCCTGACTGTCAATTAGTGAACCAATCGATTAATCAAGATTTGCAGAGAAGATTGAAAAGGGATAGCAAATGAATTGTGAAGGCATTATACTAATATTAGGCATTATATCATATGTTAACTAACTAAGACATACAATCTGATAAAGATTAGAAGGCAGAATGCACCAATGTAATATAATATTTCAAATTTCAATATGTTGCTGTAAAAACATTAATCCGTGTTGTTAGCATTCTCTTGTATCTCTATGTTACATAGAGATTTTGGAATGTACAAGATGAAGCAGCAGCACTAGTGATTGAACAGGTTAGCATGAAGAGAAATAGTAAGGAGTATCATTTTTGCTTTTCTGCCCATTGCAGAAAGTTATAATTTTATTTTCCTGCAGACTCTCAACCAGGTTTCTACCTAGATTAACAAGAGCAGTTCTGCACTCCCTTCTCTTCCACTTATCAAGGCTCCATAAACGTAAATGCTTTTTCTGAACTATCTGTCATTCTAATTTCCTGAATAATAAACTGAATAAAACTTTGACAGGTGTTCACCAACAAATGTGTGGGATTCATCATTTGTAAAAATTAGCTGTTCTGCTTTCAAAAGCAGCTTTTTGGAAAAGAGAAACTCTTTCCCCAAAGTCTCCTAGCTGATTTCTTCCTGACATTGCCTTGGCCAAAATTTGATCCAGATCCATTTCCCAAGGAAGGGGCATGGAACTGATGGGTTTGGAAGAGTCAGCATCTGAGACTGGGTGATCACCAGCAGGGTGTCCATCACCAGGACCACCACAAGGTTATCTTTTTTGCTGAATAATACAAGACACCACATCAGCCACAGAATGGCAGGGGACATACCTTCTGAGCAAGTCATGGACCCCACTTATCAGACCATGGAGGGAGAGGTGTCATACTCATGGAGACTCAATTTCTTTCTGAACATCGTCTGACATTTATTGAAAATAAGGGAAAAAAAGTTTGTCCCGGTAGTGTAGAAGAGCTAGGAAGAGTGCAGGGGTTACTGTGCTCAACAAAAGGCACACACCAGAGAGACAGCTGCACATTCAGAAGAGAACTGGATTCTGGGTGAAACCAACAGGACCACAGGAGATAATGAGTGACTTGATTTGGCTGCCAGGCAGCCCTGGGACCTGGCGGTCACACCCAGCATAAACAGAAGATGTCTCTAGGATAGGAAAGGCCTTGGTCCCATCACAGGTGAAAGGCTGGCCGGCCCCTCCAGGATGGTGGCGAGCTGTTGGAATCCTTGTTTGCCCAGAGGCTGTGGCCAGCTCAGACACCTCCTTCCGGGTGAGTCCAGATCGCCAAAGACTACAGGCTGCAGGTGGGATGCGGTGCACGGTGATGGCCGCAACAGCGCAGGTCTCTGGCCACCCCGAGGCGGGCCTGGGAGTCTGGCGGGGGGCGGGCAGTTGGCAGCTGCCGGGTGTAGGTGGTCAGCCCAGTGGGTAACAGGAGCCCGGCTTGCAGTTGGAGCGCAGGACCGTGTCCAAGTGTGCAGGGAAGAGGCCTGGCTGACCCGAGAGGGCGGCGGCAGCAACTGGAACCTGGAGAGCTATTCCTGGAACAAAGGCAAGCACTACGCGGGAAGGGACACGAGCACGGGGGAGATCGCGGCCACCCGAAGGTGAGAGGGGACACGGCGGGAGGACGCCTGTGGCGATCTGGGAGGCGGCGACTGGCGCGGCGGACCCTCTCCCGAGCACCCGCCCCCAGACCCGAGGCGCTCCAGGCCTAGAAGTCCTCGTCTTCCACCCAGCCAAACACCCGCTTCATCTCGGCCAGGAAGCCCCGGTAATCGTTGAGGAGGGGGCTCTGCTTCCTGATGTAGGGGATCACCCACTGCAGGGCTGGCCCAGTCATGCGGGTGATGAGGAATGTCACCTTCAGGGCATCATTGGTGAACAGGTTCTCGTCCACTAGCATGTAGGCGCCCGTCTGCACGATAAACTCCGGCAGCCGGTCGGTGTCGCCATCAAACGTCTCGGGGAAGGGGATCGGGTTCCTCCACCGACGTGTCTGGGGCCGAATGGGCAGGGCCAGGAGGGCCTTGATCAGCTGCACTCGGCCGTCCATCAAGCCTCGCTCTCTTTGCTGGGCTCGATGAGGTTCAGCGGAGACTGGCGAGGAGGTGTGGCGGGAAGTGCGTGTTTACGCGGGCAGACTGGTCCCCGCGTGGGCGGAGTCGTGGGCGGTTCCGGCCGCAGTTTAGCTCCACCCAGGTGGCCTGGCTGTCACTAGTGCGCAGGTGCGAAACGGAACCTAACAAGGGCCAAAGAGGACCCGGAAGAGGCGCTCTGCAGGAGAAGGGGGCGGGCCTCCTTGGAACCAAGGAGGCGGGCAGTGAGGGCAGTGCGCAAGGGGCGGGGACCAGGGGAGGAGCCTTGGACACCTGGCTCTGCATAGTGAGGGAGGAGAGAGTCACTGCCTAGGGCGTTGGGTTGGCCTCCACTTCACTGCTTCCACCCCTGTCTCCGCCCTAGTGTATCGTCTGCCTCGACCTTTCTTGAATGCAATTCTGTGAACATGTTTTCCTGCTTATTCATGGATCTCTCAGAGAAGTATTGCACCGCTGGTTGTAGATTTCTTTGCCTTGCACCATAGTGGGCCTTCCCAAATATTAGTCAACATAATCAAGAGCAGCATATTCAGAGAATAGTGCACCATGACCAGGGAATGTAAAGGAGGCTTAAATGTTAAGAAATCTCTCGATTTCTTACAAAGCTTGCTGGAAATTCTGCCAGTTGCCCACTCCTGAGACAATTTACAACACTGCAATTTGCTTTTTATGGCCAGCAGGAGATGGAAAAGGAGTCAGCTTAGAAGATGGAGTTGTGTATAATGTAACCTATTCATAGGGGTAACATTTGTCATTCTGTGGGTTAGAAGCAAGTCACAATTCCCACCCACACTCAGAGGCATCATCAGGAGGTTGGGAAAGACTCTAAAGTCTGTCGCACTGTGGGTGTATGTTCTACAGTTTGGTGATTCATTCATCAGTTGAAGGGCACTTGGCATGTTTAAAGCTTTTAGCAATTATAAATAAATCAGCTATAAACATTCAGATTTTTTGTGAGCACATATTTTCATTTCTCTAGGGAAAATGCCTACAAGGAAGATTCCTATGTCATATCATTCTAAAAGGAAAAAAAAAAAAAACCTCTCATCAAACTAGGAATAGAAGGAAAATCTTCTATTTAATAAAGTGCATCTACAAAAACCTACAGATAATATACTGTAAAATGTGAAGGCTAGAATGCTTTCCAACCTTATTCGAGAATGGAAGCATGCCTATTCTCACCATTCAATTCAGTATTGTACTGGAGAGTCCAACCAGTGAAATAATGTAAAGAAAGAAAGGTAGGAAGAAAAAAAAATGAAGGAAGGAGAGAAGACAAAGAATCAGAAGGCATCTAGATCGGCAGAAAGAGAGAAGGCAAACTCCTTGTTCAAAGAGGACATGATCATGTATATAGAAAACAGATTGCCTAGGATCTAGGCTCAACAACAACAGAAAACTAGAACTAATGAGTGAACTGAGCATGTTTGCAGCACACAAGGTGAATACACAAAAATCAATTATGTTTCTAGTAACAAACAAGAGAACTTTGAAATTAAAAATGTTTTTGTTGCTTTTCAGCCATGCCACTTGGCATGCAGGATCTTAGTTCCCTAACCAGGGACCGAACCTATGCCCCTTGCAGTGGGAGCATAGAGTCTTAACCATTGGACCACCAGGGAGATTCCAGAAACTAAAGAAGTTTTAAACACCATAAAAATGTTAAACACTTAGAGTTAAATATGACCTTCCTGAGATAAATGACAATACATCTGAGTAATGGAGAGATATCTATTCATGGGTTGGAAAACAATATTTTTAAGATATCAATTATCTCCAAATTGATTTATAGTATCAGGAAATTTTTCAATGTTAATATGTAAAAGTAAGTGATTCTAAAGTGAAGTGTGAAAGTGTTAGTCGCTAAGTAGTCTCTGACTCTTTTGCTACCCCATGGATTTTAGCCCGCCAGGCTCCTCTGTCCATGGAATTCTCCAGGCAAGAATACTGGAGTAGGTAGCCATTCCCTTCTCCAGGGGATCTTCCCAACCCAGGGATCAAACCCGGGTATACCACAGTGCAGGTAGATTCTTTACTGTCTAAGCCAACTGATGCTAAAACTCGTATGGAAATGCAAAGGACACACAATGACTAAAACTAGTTTAAAACAGAACTAACTTGGAAGATTAAGAATGTTAGGGGGACCACAGACTGAAACCACCCACCCTAGCCAGGTACCATAGTAATGACTTTCGAGAGTTATCTTACAACATACCTTACAACATTACAGTTATCTTACAACATGTTATCTTACAACAACAGGAAGTCCTGTTAAGAAATGCAGAACTAGTAAGCTACCACCAACCAAAAGAATTTGGAAAATGTCAAAATAATCCTTCTCTCTGGAATTCATCTTGGCTGAGCATTGTACAGTTACCAGGAAGGACTCAAGTCAGAGCGACCAGCCAGAGAAAACCCAGAAATAAACCCCATTACAATGAAACGTGAGACTTCAAGCCACATGGCAGAGCAGTTTTCCTGTTCCCTTACCCTGCTGCCCTTCTCCTGGTTGCCCCCTCCCAATAAAGTATCTTGCTTTGTCAGCATGTGTGTGTCCTCAGAAAATTCATTTCCAAGCATTAGACAAGAGCCCACTCTTGGGCTCTGGAGTGGGTCTCCCTTCCTGCAACAATACTATTTTATGTCAAGATTTATGATAAAGCTACAGTAATTAAGACAGTGTATATTGTCATCAAGATAGACAAATAGGTGAATGGAACAGAATATAGAATCCACAAATAGACCCACACATATATGGAGGTGTCAGTGCAGATCTGTGGAGAAAGGATAATACTTTCAGCAATGATACAGGACCAATTAGATACCCATATACAAAAAATAAATTTCTGTCAATACCTCATTGTACTTGTGCTCAGTCACTCAGTTGTGTCCGACTCTTTGCAACCGTTTGAACTGTAGCCCGTCAGGCTTCTCTGTCCATGGGATTTTTCAGGCAAGAATACTGGAGTGGTTGCCCTTTTCTCCAGCAGGAGATCTTCCACGACTCAGGAATTGAACCCATGCCTCCTATGCCTCCTGAATTGCTGAAGGATTCTTTACCCCTGAGTTATCAGGGAGGCCCTATCAATACCTCATACCATACACAAAAATTAACTCAAAATGGTTCATAGACCTAATGGCACAACCTAAAATTATAAAACTCGTTGAAGAAGAAAGGAAAAAACCTGAACAACTTTAGATTAGGCAAAGATGTCTTACCTGTGACATGAAAAAGATAATCCATAAAAGGAAAATTAGGTAAATAGGACTTCTTAAGATTAAATTTTGTGTTCTTAAAAAAACACTGTTAAGAGAATGAAAAGAATAAGGACAGGCTGGGGGCAGGTGTAGGGGCGGTGTGTGTAAATCACATGCCTTTTTAAGATTTGAATACAACTTGTGGAGTCCTGCCCCAAGACTGCGGGGGTCCAGCCTCCGCTGGTCCAGGGAACCCTTGGGATGAGCGGCGTCGGCGAATGCACACACACACACACACACACACACACACATGCAGTGGAAAAACTTCTTCTTCCTTTATTTTTTCTATAACTCCTTATATATCTTTTTTTCTACTGGGGCCAAGGTACGAATTATTGTTTTCAGATCTTTCCAAATGACGTCCCCCTTAGATCAGCAAAACAAGTCAGGGGATATTTTCCAAGACATAATTTCCCAGGGTACAAAATCTTCCGTCCCTAGTGGCGCGTGACAAGGATTGTTTTGGACCTCTTAGCCCACTCTGTTTTCAGGTTTAAACGTTCTTCTTGCTTCACTGCTTCACTTGAATGGACAAACGTTAGCTACAAAGAAACACATAGCTACAGGGAAAAAAATATCTTAACAGTTTTACAGTATAATCAATCACTTAACCACTATAGTTTCTATTATAATTTTACCTACTATGAAAACTTAACTTTTATATTATACACATACTACAATATCTTGCTTACTATTTAATCTACAAGCCATAATTCATTCTATTTTCACACAGCCGTCTATGATACCTATAGCACTAACACTACTTCCTAGTGTACTCCCAGGCACACCATGGGCAGGGGAAATGGAGTAGCAGCAGCGTCGCAGCTGCCTTAACCCTTACTCTACAATATGAGAATTTTGGCATTGTGTGGTTATTAAACTTACAACTAAATCTAATGGTGTTTGCGTGTCCAGGGATGGGATTCACAATCACATTTATAAGCAGTTTTAACTTCTAATCTATTTCCATATTCCCTAATATACCTCCTATATATAAAATCCCACATATCTATAAATGGCCTAAATCTAAATACCTCCCGCATACCAGGTTATTCATATGGTTCCCATCTCCCTGGGGGCAGAGTAAGCCTAACTCTTCTGGGAAGCCCCCAGACGTTTACACCCTAGAGATGTCCCTGGGACCTTCCCCGAGGTCTACCAGGAACAGCGAAAAACCACCAAGAATTCCAAGAAAGAGTATTAGCACAGACAAGACACATATAGCAAGAATAGGGAGTGTCCCGGAGCCTACTGGACTCGGATTCCCCTGGGTTCATGGCCTCCTTGGGTCCATGACCTTTACCCAGAGCCTTGTCATGGGCGGGGCGTTCGCTTGTCCTCTTCTTGGCTCCCGACACAAGGCCACAGATGCGAGGCCACAGATGCGAGGCCTTGCACCAAAGTCACAGAAGTGGAACCCAGAACCAAGGTCACCTCCAGAACTGACTGAGCCCTTTATAACTATTGCCAAAAGACTCCTTGATCTTTACCAGCAAGCTTTGTGACCCCGAATTAGGCAAAAATGCCCATCATGGTACTCATCCTACAGTGCCCTAGCCAATCACCTAATGCCACCTTTCCAGCAGGAACTTTCTTTGTCTTGAGGCTATACAAATTGGCTACTAACCCACAAAAAACATTGACTCTCCCGTGAGCCAGCCCACTGCTCTAACAGTGTCCAGTTGGCTCTCCCTGGCCTGCCCCATTTGCAGTACCTTCATTATCTCTGCTCCCTGATCTTAATAAAGTCACTCCCTTCTGAAATACTGAGTCTGGAAAGTCTTTTCCAATCCATGCTCATACTGCCACAACACAACTCACCATTTAAAAAGTAAACAATCCAACTAAAAATGAGCAAAATATTTGAACAGACACTTCACAAAAGAAGACACACACACACACACACATATGTATATATATGGTAAGTAAGAACACAAAAAAGATGTTAATCTTTAAGAATTAAGAATTGCTAGAGACACAGACATAGAGAACAGACTTGTGAACACAGCAGGGGGAAGGAGAGAGGGAAGAATTGAGAGAGTAGCATTGAAACATACTTTACTATATGTAAAATAGTTAGTGGGAAGTTACTGTATATCACAGGGAGCTCAACCTGATGCTCTGTGACAATCTAGGGTGGTTGGATGGGGTGGGAGGTGGGAGGAAGGTTCAAGAAGGAGGAGACATGCATAGTTTTGGCTGATTCATGTTTTTGTATGTCAGAAATCAACATGACAGTGTAAAGCAATTATCCTCTAATTAAAAATAAATTTTAAAAAAGAATGGCAAACTAAACCCACAATGAATTACCATTTAACAGTTGCTAGAATGGCCAAAGTAAAAACAAACCAAAATCAGAACCACGCACACACACACACACACACACACACACACACACACACAAAACTTGACAATAATGTCACTGTTTGAAGAATAAATTAATTTCTCATAAAATGCTGATGGGACTACAGAAGAGTAGAGCACTTCAGAAAACATTTTATCTCTTTCATAAGGTTCCTTTATGCAACTTTGCAGAATAAAATCCCCTTGTCTTGTTGTTCAGTCACTCAGTTGTATCCGACCCTTTGTGACCCCATGGAAGACAGCAAGCCAGGCTTCCTTGTCCTTCATATCTCTCAGAGCTTGCTCAAACTCATGTCCATAGAGTCAGTGATGTCATCCAACCATCTCATCCTCTGTCATCCCCTTCTCCTCCTGCCCTCAATCTTTCCCAGCATCAGGGTCTTTTCCAATGAGTCAGCTCTT